TTCGATTTTCTAAACTTTCTTGAAAGTTTCTACGATAATTTGAAAACGAGATAATATTAAAAATGCGTAAGTAGACTGATTTATAGAAAGAGAAAACGTAAGGGAATAAGATGTACGTTGCTTGATGTATCCCGCATAATAGAGGCGTGTCATTGGCTCTTTATAGAGAGCGTGTAGGCATGCCGCCGGACTTAATAACGGTTCCTGGACGCAGTTTCAGATACGCCGCTACTCTACCACTTGAACTATCGTGACTTCGATCCACTCTGATACTAAGTATATCTTCACTAAAGCTTTCCGTGGCCATTTCACTTGTCGCCGAGAATCGAATAGATTACAAGACATTTGAAAAATGGCAAAAAGGAGGGCAAATTCAAAAGGTGGGGTTGAGATGGGCAGTTAGTGTCGGAGCGGATCGAGCGAGCTCAAGTGGTAGAGTAACAGCGTATCTAGCTGAAGGTCGTGGGTTCGAATCCCGCTCGTGACACTGACTTTTTTTATCTCAACTAAAAACCTTAATTAATGGGAAATTATTATTATATATTTATTTTTTTTATTTTTATTTTTTGGACGCCTCAAAAAGAACAGCCAACTTCCGGCAGACGGATAACCATGCTGTAAAATGCTTTAAATATTGTATATTATGTAATGTTCCTCTTTAATTTAAATAAAGCATATTATCTATCTATCTATCTAGTGGAATTGGGAATTTTTTATTGTATATAGGCGTGTTTTGTGTTTCTGTGTGAGTGTATTTATTAGAGTGAATGGTGGAATAGCATCCCATCGCCTTCGAGCTGTACGTGGCTTGGGTCAAAGGCGGCTCCAATTAGATTTGTTTGTTATTGTATGCAGGTTGATGGAGGAATGTTGAGTACTACAATTTACTAAATAGATTACAATTAATTAAGGTTTTAGTTGAGATAAAAAAGTCAATGGCACGAACGGGATTCGAACCCACGATCTTCGGCTAGATACGCCGCTGCTCTACCACTTGAGCTATCGTGAACTCGATCCACTCGGACACTAAATTCCCATCTCAACCGCACCTTTTGAATTTTGAATTGAGATAGCTCGTGGTAGAGCAGCGGCGTATCTAGCCGAAGATCGTGGATTCGAATCCCGCTCGTGCCATTGACTTTTTTATCTCAACTAAAAACCTTAATTAATTGAAATATATTAATTGGTTAAGCGGACCACAAAATTAGTGAATTTACTAAGTAGAATGAATGCAATGTATTTAGGTGTGAATGTATATATTTGTGTGAGTGCGTATTGAGTGTTGTATTTCGCACGCGCTCGGGGCTGAAATGACCGTGCTGTCCTATGCCCCTTAAAAAAATATACGTAAATATTATTTTTTTAAAATGATTAGATTAATAGGGATTAAGGGAGTTTATGCAGCAAATAGATTATAGGTTATGAACATAGCGTTGTTACTATAAACGTATCAGAGCAACAAAAGATTCTAAAGGAGAGATTCCATAAAAATGATAATGCCGCCGGGTATAGTGTAATGGTAACGCTTCTCTGTACACAAAGGGCGTGGGGAGGGCCCTAATATAGTATAGCCTCCCCTTTCTCATGCTAACACAACACAATTCAAATACCATTTAACAGTCCCACGTCCAGCCGAAACTCATGTTTTATTTTATCTTTTACCCAAACCGTAATCAATGGGTTTTATATTGGATTTTTTCCCATTGAATACATATCTCGCCCCTCGGTGAATAAACACGTTTACCTTAACAGCCCTTTTATCATCGGGAATGGAAACCCAATGAGTGTTTCCTGTTGGCAATATAATTAACTTTTTTCAGCAAACATAAATATTTTTACTCGCCGGGCCACCGTGACATGTAAATTACTTTCGTGTTGTCCCTTTCAATGTGTACTATTTGTGTAATAAAAAATGAGAAAATGGAAAAATTCTAACTTTTATACTCTCGACCCGACCGAAACATGTCCAAGTCGTGTTGGTTACCACTATGACGCAGAAAAATCTTCTTTATTATATAAAATAATAAAATAATTACTAAATGCAATCTTTGCAATAAGCAATTTTATACACAGAAAAATAAGAGTTACAAGACACATACACACACAATGTCCATAATAAAAGGTCATTATAATAAATCAATAAACTGTTGTCCATAAGTGCGGCTTTTTAATTTTTGTATCTATTTATATTTCAACTTTTTGTTTATCTATATACTATTTCTATCTCTCTACACACACACACACACACACACACACACACACACACACACACACACACACACACACACACACACACACACACACACACACACACACACACACACACACACACACACACACACACACACACACACACACACACACACACACACACACACACACACACACACACACACACACACACACACACACACACACACACACACACACACACACACACACACACACACACACACACACACACACACACACACACACACACACACACACACACACACACACACACACACACACACACANCTCTCTCACATATATACAGTGATGAAAAATATTTTGTCCTAAATTTGTATTGTTTTTACCACTTCTCACTCTTTCTTTCAAAAAGCTGTCAATATAACTTCTCTCTCTCTCTCTCTCTCTCTCTCTCTCTCTCTCTCTCTCTCTCACAAAACAAAAGAAGTGGATGAACTCTAGCAACGCTAGACACAGCAAACTTATGATGAAACAACCCTCACCAAGACTGGCAAAATCATTGCGGCAATTGGAGATGGCCAAACTCACAGGAGTGTTAGGACTACTAACCGGTCATTGGCATCTGAGAAAACATGTATACAGCATGGGCATATACAACGATGATCCCATTTACAGATTATGTAATGAGGAGGAGGAAACAGCCACCTATATCATCTTCGAATGCGAAGCAACTGCTCAATGAAGATTTAACCTAACACATGGAAAAAACTTACGGAATTAAATTGCAGCAGGGATAGTCAATGACCCGATATTTCTAAGAAGAAGTCTATTGCACTGAACTAGGGAACTAGGAAGGTACAATAAGCCAGAAGGGGAGCACAAACCCCGCTTCCTAATCAACTTTTTTACCATACCAATGTATATTTAATATTATGTATTAAATAAATTAAAACCCAAACTCCCACAATCCAGTCCAAAGTTTGACATTGGTTTTTGATGTCTTGTGGACATCTTTTCAACCGTGACCTCTCATCCAAACGTCGGAGCATCTTTTTGAAATAAATATTTTTCCTAATTAACTAAAACCGCACAGTTTTATAAAATTTGGGCAAAAAGAGGCGAATCAATTAGATAGGTTGTGGTTTGTTCTTTACGACAAATTCAACCGAACTTATCGTTTATTTGGGCCAATTCAATTTTTTTCTCCTTGTGCGTTTATCCGAAGAAAGAGAGCGGTCGGATAAGCAGAATTTGGAAGTAGTTTGCAACGCGGGTTGATATTGAATTCAGGGGGCGGAGGGAGATAATTGTGCTCTCGGGGGGCGGGAGTGAAGGATGAGACTACTAACTGAGGCCGACAGGCCACCGGCCGGGGACCCCACGGCCTCAAATATAATTACACAACGCTTCACTGCTTCCAAACCCCGATGTTGTTCGCTCAGGCAAATTTGACAAAGTTGACCCATCAGATATCTGACCAGTGGGGGGTGCTTTGTTTATGGTACAAAAACGTCAATAACTAAAACTGATCGATACAAAAATTCATTTCCGACATAAAAACAACGGTGAATTGATTTTTATCTGTTTTTAGCAAAATTTTGAAAAACTCGACAACATTTATTTATTATATCAACGGACAATTTTACAACAGTACACATACTCGACGTATGTGGAGTTACACAGCTTTAATTTTGATAAGATATGAACAGAATAAGTCCAAATCACTATTTAAGTTATTAGCTTTAGTACATATACTAGGAATGGGAGCATTTTTTATGTAGTTCGTTTTACAAAATGGTATAAGGAATAGAGGAGTGAATCTGGTCCTCTTTTCTGGTACATTAAGAGATATCTTTTCCAACAATTTAGGACAACTAATCATATTCCTTAGAATGGGGAAAAAATGGCAAAGTAGGGAAAATTCAAAAAGGTGGGAAGTTAGTGACCGAGTGGATCGAGGTCACGATAGCTCAAGTGGTCGAGCAGCGATGTATTGAGCCGAAGATCGTGGGTTCGAATCTCGCTCGTGACACTGACTTTTTTATCTCAACTAAAAAACTTAATTAATTGCAAGTTACTTAGAAGTTTTAAAGAAATACAATATCAATAGATGTTCTACGATCTTCTAATGAACTAATGTTCAGTAGATTTCTAAAAGTATCATACGAAATCCGACTAGAATTTAGTGTGAAAGAACAGTATTTAAGAAATTTATTTTGAACAGATTCAAGTCTATAATATAAATGTGATAATTAATCCATTACTGTTAGTGGTCCGATTGACCAATTAACATTTTTCAATTAATTAATATTTATGAAAGGTGTTGGCTAAAATAAAAAAGTCAGTGTAACGAGCGGGATTCGAACCCATGACCTTCGGCTAGATACACCGCTACTGTACCACTTGAGCTAACGTGACTTCGAAAAATAGCAAAAAGGAGGGAAAATTCGAGAGGTGAGGTTGAGATGGGAAGTTAGTGTCCGAGTGGATCGAGGTCACGATAGCTCAAGTGGTAGAGCAGCGGCGTATCTAGCCGAAGATCGTGGGTTCGAANCTGAACAGTTTTCGTATGAAGAACCATAGCACCCTCTCCACCTCCACGAATTCCTCTGATCCCCATACTTGTGCAGCATAGCACAGAATTGAGCGTGAGACCGCGTTAAAGATATACAGCTTAGCCTTTAGCGGGATCTGGGGCTGCATCATTGCTCCTCTCCAAACAGAATTAAGGGCAAACTTGGCCGAACACGAAAAAAAAACACCTATTTAATAGGTCTACTAATAAAATAAATAAAAATCTTACTTACATATGTTCTTGTAGGAAAATGAAATTGACTCGTTCTTCCCCTGTTTTTTCGGTTCTGAATGTTCTTTTTCAAACGCTTATTTCGACCATTTTAACTCACTTTTCCCCTGTTTTGAGATCACCATCTTATTCGCCAACCTTCAATCTATAGGAAACCGTCATCATCCCATTTTCGATCAAAATGTCGTTTTTCCCCTGGGGTCTTCATATGTTTTGGCATTTTACTATCTTCAATAGCTCGTCAGTGATATACGCTGGATACGTCACCCATTACGTCCATTCATTCCAAACTCATCGATAAACACTAATCTAAGACCGGAAGATTTCACCATTTTGAATTGCTTTTCCAGTATCTGTTTAAAGCAAAATTTTGAAAAACAAACTCACACTATCCGAAATAAGGCCACAAATGTAATGTGAGATATTGTCTGTCCGCCTATATTCGCTGTTTGGATTTCTTAAATATGTTGTGGCATTTCGCAATCTTCAATAGTTGGTCAGGGATATAAGCTGGGTACGGCAACCATTACGTCCATTTATTCCAAACCCTCAGGTTAATATTAATTTGGTCCGAAAGAATTCACCATTATGGATTCATTTCTTATTCAAAACAACGATGAATTGTTTTTTTCGTTAGCTGTTTTAAGCAAAATTTGAACAGCCGGCAACATCGAAATATGATAAGAAAAACAAATCTAATGTTAGATCTCTGCCTGTATTCCCTGTTTGGATTTGTTAAATACGTTTTGGCATTTCGCAAACTTCTGTAGTTGGTCAGGGGTATAAGCTGGGTACAACGATTACTTCCATTAATTCCAAATCCTACGGCAAACACGAATTTAGGACCGAAAGAATTCCCCATTCTGAATTGTTTTTTCAGTAGATGTTTTAATGCAAAATTCTGAAAAAATAAATAAAGCCATAAATGTAATGGGAGATCTCAGCCTGTATTACCTGTTTGGATCTTTTAAATGTTTTGGGATTTCGCAATTTTCAGTAGTTATTCAGAAATCTTGAGATGCGGTCTGGTGATGTAGGTTTCAGAAAAAACATTTTCTTTATCGTGCCAACGTTTCGATCTTTATTGAGATCATCTTCAGGGCTTGNCAGCGGCGTATCAAGCCGAAGATCGTGGGTTCGAATCCCGCTCGTGCCATTGACTTTTTTATCTCAACTAAAAACCTTAATTAATTGTAATGTAGTAATTGGTCAAGCGGACCTCGAAATTAGTGAATTTAACTATTTAATAAGTAGTAACATTTTTGTTAAGTTAATGACGGATTAAATCCATTATATTTAGTGGTCTATTGACCAAATTACTTCTTTAAATTAATTAATCTTTTAATGTAAGGTTTTGTTTGAATAAAAAAATTAGTGTCTGAGTGGGATTCGAACCCACGATCTTCGGCTCAATACGCTGCTGCTCTACCGCTTGAGCTCGAGGTCACGATAGCTCAAGAGGTAAGAGCAGCGGCGTATTGAACCGAAGGTCGAGGGTTCGAATCCCGCTCATGACACTAATTTTTTTATTCAACCAAAACCTTACATAAAAAGAATAATTACTAATGTTCAGGTTTGGTATGTTTTGATATTTCGTTATCTTCTGTATAGTCGTTCAGTGGAGAAGAGAGACGACTTTCTTACAAATGCTACATTGTCTAAGTTTAAATTGGAAGGAACCAATTTCTCGCCTCTTCCCTGCTTACAACCCTGACAGCGAGCCTATCACTCAAACCTTTTCTCTTCATGCACATTTTTTAAAAAAATATGTCCTTTTGAATACTACAGGAAGCGTGTAGATTATTACTTCAAAAGAGCAAAAGAGGTGGAAAAAATTGGCTTACAATCAGTAAAAGTTTCAATTTCAAATCCTAAAATTTATTTTATGGTAGAAAAAGTAACGCAAACTTCTGTAAATAGTCTGGCACACGACAATCTTAAATTTTGTGCATAATAATAATTATTGAATAAATTTCTGAAATTTGTCGTTAAGATTTTGTTCCGTCACCTTAAGGGTTGTGTCTTATTGTTAGTCCTTTTTTTTTTTTTCAAAATGTTACTGTCGGAAAGTATAATTGTAAAAACACACAAAACAGTACTACAAATGTTATTTCTGAAGACGTACAATATTTGAAATTTTTTCCAAAGTTTAGTATATGAAAGAAAATACGTAATAAACTTTTTTACAGATTTAATCATAAATTCACTACAACAAAGTAATTTTTTTTAGGGTTAACGTTTTGACTGAATAAGAATACGCATTACATAAAATTGAGGATGATCAGACGCATTTCGACATTTCACTGTATTCAGTGGTCCGTCAGGGATATAAGCAGGGTGAGACACACTGTGATGCCTAAACGCGATTGACTGACCAACCCAGCGATGATAGGTAGAACAAAATGATCTGAAACCACCAATTTTCCTAGGTTTATTCAATAATTACTATTTTTTTCACTGCGACTCTGCCAAACTATTTACAGAATATTTATGTACTTTTACTACCATAAAATAAAAGGCTAAATTGTTCGGTAAAGAATAAATTTCAGGTTCATCGCAGCGCAGGAAAAAAAATGAGAAATCTCACAAAATTTGTATTGTTTAATAATAATTATTGAACCAAAGTTTCAAATCGTTTGATCTATCAAAAGCAAAATTTTATCTTAATACATTTAAATAACAATAAAAAGACACAAGAAATAAGATTGAAGATGATTTTTTAAAAATTCATTTTGAACAGAGAAATCAAAAGATAGTTATTACAATAAGAAATACAATATATTTAAAAACTCCAACATTCTAAAGAAAGTTTGTAATAAATTTTTCCAGATTTAACCATAAATTCACAACAAGATAAATTTTTATTGGTAGTAAAATTACATTAAGATTCTGCACTTCATTTGCGAAAGATTATACTTATGTGCTAGAGCATATCATCATAATATTTTTTTAAACGAATAAAACTGCTCTGCTATTTAAAAGTATATATGTATAAAAAAGTACCAAAAGTATTACATATTTCAAGTTGTCGTAAAAAGTCCATTTTCTTAAAGAAAAAACATGTTAACATCATCAAACCATACTTAATTTTTATTTAGTTAATTTAAATAAATTGACTTTTCGAGAATAGGCATTTATGTCAGACGCGTTTCGGTCTAATATAGACATCTTCAGAGACTTTTTTTATATAAGGTTTTTTTTCCATTATTATAAGGCGAGTAGTCGGTCAAGAATTGATTCTCAGATTGGCTTCACTCCAAGTCTTTAGTCGTCCGGACTTACAAGACTGTAAAAAACCGTCAAACCATTTTACATAAAAAAAAATCACTGAAGATGGTTTATATTAAACCGAAACGTCTTACTTAATAAATGTCTATTGTGGAAAAAAACAATTTAATTCCTACCCATCTCTTATTATTGAGTTCCATAAAATCAGGATGGACAACATGCAAAAACTTAATTTTTATGTTATTATTGCATAAACGTAAATTTTATGAAATGTTTAAGAAAGAAGACCGAACAAAGGAAATTAGAGTTTGCGTTACTGCGAAGGTTTTATATATTCAATTTTTTCCATGTTGTGCACAGATTCCCATTTCTTGTCCAAATCTGCTTAAGAATCTCCTAATTTTAAATATAATACAATAAATCATTAAACAAATAAAAAATTAAACGAATAAATGTCGATTATTGGACAGGGTTGGGCGGTAAAAAAGAAGATAATGGTTATTTGTTTTAATCAAAACGAGAGCCATAAATCTGCTTCCTCAAAGTGATAAAATAAACGATAAGGAAAAAAATTATCGGGACTAAAACATTACTCTAATAAAAACGTCAGAATAAATTTGATTGATAAATCCCGATCGTGAAAACTATTTTCACAGTATATATATTGGTTTCTCCCATTGAAAAGAGTATAATTGACGGAATGTTTATTGGCCGTTATCAGAAGGGGCGGTTTGGGTCCAATATATCTGGTCTCCCACGACCACGGGATTAGTTGGCCCACTATCTGCCCCTACTCCACCAACACAGTTTCTAATTAAAATGACCTCCCAAGCCCCACTCCGAGATATTACCCTGGACCAAGTTCCTCCATCTCCATACTAATCCTTCCCCACCAGAACTAAGCCTTATCAGTAATCTGTTAATATAATTCCTAAAGGGTGGGAGCACAACTCCACTAATTGCATTGCAAATTTCTTTAACCCCCTCTCGTGGAAGGGGTGGCGACGCAAGCTTTATTGCGCGAGTTTTGATTGGAGTTGCCCCGTCGAACAGAGTTAATCAGGAGAAATTCAGAACGGGCTCTGAGCCGAATTAATTTCAAATTTACTTCGCCCTCATCTGTTTTTCATATCCCTCATCGATTTCCCTGAAATAGACGATTTAATTTCAAAACCGTGAGACCCTACTAGGCCCAACTCATTCGGTAATCCGTTTGCTCATTATAATTAAATGATATTATTATAATTTTGGAATTTGCCATCTTCGTCCTTCGCAATATCGTACGACACGGAAGGAAGAGACAAGCAAACGGTGTCTCTTGATATTGAAGTATCGTACAGGTCGTATATTCATTTTATAGAACTGAGCGTTGCGTATCTTACAAGACAATTATCGTATATCGCTTACGACCTAACGATATTTATCTTATCGCTCTGGTGTGAACCCTACCTCATAACCGAAACTTTTTAACTTCTTCCAGTATGAAAGGTCGGGTTTATACACGAGCCGTAAGTTATTTATCACAGAAAGATTTACTACACGATTTTTATCTTACATATGTGAGGTTCATACCCAAGCGATAAGACATGAGCCAGCCAACCAATCACAGCGCCTATCTTCTCATTCTTTGAATTTTCCATCTTCACCCTTCACAATAACTTAGGGCACAGAAGGAAGAAACAAGCCGATATCTCTTGATACAAGTATTGTACAGGTCGTATACTTCATTTTATTAACCTGAGTGTTGCGTATCTTACAAGACAATTATCGTACATCGCTTACGACCTAACGATATGTATCTTTTATCGATATGTATCGTGTCGCTCTGGTGTGAACCCTACCTAATAACCAAAACTTTTAAACTTTATTTCACCCTCATCTGTTTTTCGTATCCCTTATCATAGATGATTTAATTTCAAAACCGTGAGGCCTTACTAGGCCCAAATCATTCGGCAATCCGGTTGCTCATTACAATTAAATGATATTATTATAATTTTTGAATTTGCCATCTTCATCCCTCGCAATATCGTACGACACAGATGGAAGAGACAAGCAAACGGTGTCTCTTGATACAAGTATCGTACAGGTCTGTCGTACACTTCATTTTATAGAACTGAGCGTTGCGTATCTTACAAGACAATTATCGTATATCGCTTACGACCTAACGATATATATCTTGTATCGATATGTATCGTATCGCTCTGGTGTGAACCCTACCTAATAAGCAAAACTTTTAAACTTTATTTCACCCTCATCTGTTTATCGTATCCCTTATCATACATGATTTAATTTCAAAACCGTGGGACCCTACTAGGCCCAAATCATTCGGTAATCCGTTTGTTCATTGTAATTAAATGATATTATTATAATTTTTGAATTTGCCGTCTTCATCCTTCGC